CTCTCCTTTCGAAAGTTATCATGTAAACGGCCGGACGGACATACTGACCGATTCTAGAGTGTACCACTTTTTGAGTACACAAAAAAGATCAAAGAAATATTTTTTTTACCGATAGAGTGTATAAATTGAATTCCATGCTAATGTTGATCCGAGTCTTTTAAAACTATTTGGATGTAATGAAAAACTTAGAATACGTTTAAGAATTGATGTAGCATTTTTTAAATAAGATGTTTTATCATAACCACCAGAATGTTTAACTGTCCATTTAAGAAATTCTTTTAGACAAATACCACTAAAATCACGTATGGATGCATTACGACCAGATATCATACCATTCTAAAATAAATGAAAATTATTTTCAAAGAAAATTAAGCAAAAGAAAAAACTATTCAAAAACCATAAATGTATCAAGCATTGACATTGTTTCAGGATTTTCATAATTTTGATTTTTTGTAAACCAATGTATCATTTGAATCATAAATGTCGTAAATAAAGTTTTTGTAAACTAAATTTGAAAAAATTAAACAAAAAAAAAAAAAAACTAACAATTAAATTCTATTACGGTATCTGAATCACAAGATAATTCGAGTATAGCAGGAAATAAATGTTCATAGAGTTTGTCATAAGAAGCCTAAATAAAAACGAATTAATATTTATTTTTAGATTAATAAAAGAATAGAAACTAACTGCTGCACTACTTCGATTATTTGCACTTTTACCAATCATATAAAGCATTATGGATTGAAGTAATTCACATGCAGTAATTTTTGTTTGACGATCAGAACTATGTAATGATAGATCGACAATACGAGGTAGAAAAATATCTAAATTAAATTAAAATATTATAAAATAAGATTAAGAAAAAGAAATTTTCCTTTTTACCAAGATGAATAGTAGGTTTAATATCATCAAATGGTACATGAAATGTTATATGATTTTCATTATCCCATGCTACAGCTTCTTTTATTAAATGATTTGATGTATCATCAATAAGATAATGATTTACACGATTGCCTAATGAACCAAGATATTTTAAAATACGAAATTGTACACGACGAATATCACTATCTTCAAAAAGCTATGAAAAAAACACAAAAATAATATAAGTTATTTCATAAAAACATATCTATAAAATGTTTTTAATTTTTTATCAGTTAACAAGAATTATGACAAATCTTTTCGCTTAATTTCAGTCTCAAGTCTAATTTTAATAGAACATTCAGTTTATTTTTCTCTATTGAAATTATTTCAAACAAGAATATTCATAGAAAAAAATATAGGCCATTTATCAGCTACTTTACAGTATACAATGTTGTCCATAAACAGTTTCATCAGCTCAATATTCATACAGAATGATTGAACAGCACTAACTATAATGGTCCATGTATGTCAAAAAGTAGTTCGTATGCTGATCGTACGCGTTATTCTAGACAAACAATCGGTAATGATTTATTTAGGATTATTATATTTCTTCCAAAATTAATAATCGTTGGTGTCTATAGCGAAAAATCTAGGTTCTTTTCTTCCCTATACATCC